CCGTCTTCCCCACTCCGCTCAGCTTTGAGGAAACCACCTCCGCCTTGTCTCCTAAACGCTTTTAATGTGTAGCTATGTTGTCTTATCTTGGTGATGGTATATTCCGCATTGCACGCCGAAAATGACAGACAGGTTAAAACTAGCAAAACCTTAAAATGTTGACAAGGAAAAGATAGAGGAAGTCAATAGAGTAACAATGTGGTTAACGCTGATTAACCTACAGTCCTTAAGCCATTGAAGTCCAAGTTTGTTAACCAGAAGGCGAAACTAACTGATCGGTTAACTAAGTTATGAACAGATAAAGAGAAGAAATATGGATGGAAATTAAAGAATTGTTTGATCTAGTCTGATAGTTCAGTTCCTCAGTTTTTCGAAGTCTAGTGCGAATACATCTTGTTGGCTATGGCAGAAATTATCAATCTAACTTTACTTCTGCGACACACCTGGCAAGTTTTATTCGCCGATAACCGTGATCGGCGTATAAATCGCCGATATCTCACACGCAATTATCGGCCATTTTATACGCCGATCGTATAATTCATCGCTCAGACTTACAAGAAAACTGAAGAGTGTTTATAAGACTCTTATATGGAACTTTCGAAACTTCAACTTTTATATTTTCGACTTGTATACGTAGTAATTTTGTTACCCGCCCACTTACGGGCCAGGCATGCTGAAGTATTTGAGCTCAATAGATAGCTTTGCCAGGGGCGGGAATATAATCTTGACCGCACTGAGTGTTACAGCATATTAGCAAGGAAACACATCGGGGTGACAGAGACCTACGGTGAGGAAGACTGGGCTCCCTTCAAAATATCTCGGCCCAAAGATGGTTGCATAAAAAATGACCAGTAAGAAAGAGAAAGAAGAAAATACAGTAAATGTGTTTTTGTCCAACAAAAACGTCCTTCGTAGTGTCTAAATATGACTTTTGGAATGTTTAAGCATTGAATTTTTATAATAGTAAAAAAAAAAAAAAACCTGCAACACTTTGAAGGAATCATGACGTTATGAAAAGGCAGCGCGAGTTAAACTGTACTGACTTCAATTAATATGTTCTTTCTATTTAATGACTTCAGAAAGGTTCTTTTGGATCATCCGTTACTAAAAGCTTTCCTCGGGTCGAAAAAAGTCTGGACGTGAAATTGACAAAAAAAAAAAGGTTGTTGCTACATAAAAGCTAGAATAATAACAGTGAAAGAATTTCATCGAAATGATTGGCGGCGCACACGAATCTAAAGACCCCTAGAAAAACCTTGACTTACCATTAGTCTTGCGCCGGTCATTTTACAGGACGATGTGCCAAGTTCTGCCTTTAACTGTGTTTGTTTGTTATACGTATAAACATGCATTTCGACCTTTTTTATATTTACGCTGTAATTTCGAAACTATTTTCGGGGCTATTCCCTTTCCTGTAAGGTTTTAAGATAGATTTTGACGACCAAGCATTACATGAACCTCCCTCTATTCGACATAAGGGAACTTTCCATTCAGCGCCCGAGAAACATAATGCTGTAACGCTATGTTTTCCTTGTACGGACAATACATACTAATTCGAACCAAAGTGCGAACGCTTGCATCAGTTACGTCTACGTATCTTTTTAAAGGCACTGATGTATACAAAATAGTGTCTTTTTCAATTGAATTCAAATCAAAAGCTTAGGAATGTTATTTTAAAGTTATTTTACATGCTACTTAAGAAAAGAACTTTCCGCTGAGGTAAACAAAATAAGGGGGCGGATCGAATCTTTTAGTAAGACATTGAACGTCAATGGGCAAGCTAATTCCGGGTGAAAGGGCATTGCTTCTGTCACTTAGTTTATTTAAGTAAGCAACAAACCATGAAAAATGTTTGTAGGTAAATCAAACCGAAGTCGCTAAACTCCTCTGAAATCGATTCTTGTTTAATTTTTCCATGTCAAGTATTAAAATAAAGAGCAGCGAAGAAAAATGCAAGTAATGATACTGCATCAGGAGGACCATAAAAGAATAAATGTTCCTGAATTATCAATTTAGGATAACAGAGCTTGAATAATGTGACATAATTACTAGACATGGAGGAAGAGCCAAGAATTCTAATCGTCTTGGAAAAAAAAACATAAAACCTGCTGCCTCGTTTTATAGGGAGAATCTGGGGAATCAAATCGTTTGTGGCGTAAAAACTGTGAAATTTGTCGAACGGTTCAGTGCATTATGTCTTGTTTACATTACTACTAAATATSTATAGTAGGCTTAAAAATTAACTTTCAAGACTATAAGATTTCCTTAACAAAGCAAATGTATTCAGCTGAACTTCAGGTATATATATCTACCGCAAACATACCGAGTGGAATACTAGAAATCCTTAGCAATAGAAGAGCTCTATTTTTTAAAATTATTTCATCCTCCCACAAGGAAAATCACGAGTTTCAGGAACTTCTTACCTTCTACTGAAAGGAAAATTGAAATGATAATTGTTCCTGGTGTCTTTGAATAAATTACGTTCTCCGTTCTCCGAAATATCCACTATTTGTTAGAAATATGTTGTTTGAAACTGGGGAACAATGAAACATTTCTTTTCATCCGAAGAATCAAAATATAAAAAAATCGCGGCTTGCAGCACACAATTCAGTTGCCGATTAACTCTCCCAGTTACTTGCGGTGTTTGGTTTGCATTTTGGATTTATGGTTGGAATTACCTGACGAATGTATCCAAAAACAGTGCCGATCTTTTCCAAGCAGTAATTTTAAAATGAATAGAACAACCTATTTTTAAAAATCATAAACAATAGAGACAATTCTATATCTTACGTCAACCACGCGAGTCGCTTTCCGGGATGTCGAAAGTTCTACTTTCCATATTTCTGATAATTATTAAATCCTGAACGTTTCGTCTCGGGAGTTAGAAGTTTTACTTTTGCTTTTGAGCTGCCTGTAGGTGTCTGAGCGCGCAATGCAACTGCCAAATCTATGTTGAATCAGGGGCATTCTCTCTCCCTCTCTCTCCCCTTCTCTCTCTCTCTCTCTCTCTCTCTCTCTCTCTCTCTCTCTCTCTCTCTCTCACTCTCTCTCTCAAAAATATAACCCTGTATAGAATTACTTAGTTAATAACTCAAGACAATTGCTTTTCTGTATAAAAACAAAATTGTCAGGGAAATGAGTTAAAAAATTTTCATAATACACAGAATTATCCTCTTGACATCCTCTCTCATGTTAGAGCTCTAAAATTAAAATACATTTTATTTTATTAGCGGTTAATTGCTGGTTGTTTCATTTTCTCAAGATAATCTAAATTGTACTTGGACAAGCCTTTATAGGGAAACAGCATTCAAGGTAGGATAAAATCAATTAGTTTTTCATTGGGGTTCGAACGGTTACAGATATGAAAAGTGCCCCGAGCCAGCTGAGTGGCAATCTGCTGTATTTTTTTGTTTTTTGTTCATTAGTCTATAACAATAGCTTTCGAAATATCAGGGTCAAAAAGGAAAGGAGCATGCCATAATTCGAAGCGAGAAGTTTATATAATAATCATTGACAGCAAAGACAACGAAAGGACCTTTAAGAGGAAAAAAGATCAAATTTCATCCAAGGTCAGACTAGCGAAAAGGGCATAGATATATTGTCAACTGATTCCCGTCTGTCTGTATGTCTTCTCTAAAGAGTACCAACATTGTTTTACTGATATAATGAATTGCAACTTTTCATTCTCTTTCAGCCTTAGCCGTACCTTTTTCGGTTTTATCACAACCTTTTTCCTTCTTTGGTTTACTACTACCCCTTTCCTTATTTGGTTTTACTGCTACTTCTTTCCTTGTTTCGTTCTTGAACAAGATTTTCCGCATCGGGCCATAGTTAATTAGTAGTTAATTGGTGTTTTCACTCTATTGCAACATATCGCGTGATTAACAGAAAAACGTGTGGCGCAATTAAAAAAATACAGTTCCTGCTCTAATCATTGTTCCTGCTCTAATCATTGTAACTGACACGAAGGGATAACCCTTCGTGTCAGTTACAATGATTTAATCCAGTATTTACGTAGTTGCGAAAGTAATCTTCGGGTTTTCCCCGAGAAGACCATGTGGATTCAAATCACTTCCTGTGATCGATTAGATTGTTGGATTATCTTTATTGGGAAATTTTATCCCGTTTTCCTCAACATCTTTTGACGCAAATGACTTTCTTCCGGGTCGAACCCCCTTACAATAAACTATATAAGAAATCGTCTTCGTAGATAAGCTGCAGTGAAGGAGATTTCATTGTCTAGGCGTTATTGTCTGGGCGCCATTATCAACTGAGAGACGAAGCCACATGTTCTGAGCGAAGCAAATTTGAGAGGAATCCGCGTTCCTTTATGGAAATATGGCTACAATGAAATAAAATAAATTCATTTCACAAACGCCTACCGCAAGTCAGACCGGTCTTTTTCCTACAGGAATTTTGCCGTTAATCCGAACCGCCCTGCCAGATCAGTCAGTAGACGAGCTTGGGACACTATTTTGACAGACTACAGGGAGACCTCACTTTAATAAAAGTTAGGCTTACCGTCCACTGTAATCCGAATTAAGTGTCCACCAAAAAACTAAGGCTCTCGTAAATTGGTGGCGTCAATAGTCTTCGTTTGCCTACTTGTTCCTTTTTCAGCGGGATGATTAGACCCTTCCTCTGTGCATGCTTAAGAATTGAGTCGAGCGTTGCTGCCTGCGGCAATTACTGTGTTTTCAATTGCATCCTCGTAAACTTATATTTGCTAAAATCTATATGGCCTTGTTAAAAGAAAAATTCTAGTACAGGATCCTGGAAAAAAAAAAACGGGATTTGTCCGGATGTTGTGGTTTTTTTTTGAAAAAGTTCCATACCAAACAAGGCTGAGTGAAATTTTCTGAGAAAAGCACTATAAGTGAGAACTAACCATAGGCTGTCACACGGATATTTTTTTATGAGTTACGTGCAGAGCGTTGATATGCTATGTGTCATCGAAGAAGCCTCAAATTCTGGTTTCCTAAAGAAGAAAACACCAGGAGCTGGTTACAAAAATCGTTTTAAAACAACACTAAGATGCGCGTAATTTACAGAGGTAAAAATCTTAAGCTTAAAAAATTTACTTAAATCTGATACATAACTTTTAACTATTAACTAAACATCAATACTAAGAATTAAATATATAAAGTAAATTTAAAATCACCATAGAACAATGGTGGAATGAAAGAAAAAAATTAAAAGTCTTTTGTTGTTAGTTTATTCTTAGAATGGGCAACATTGATGGCCTGTTTTACAATTGAATGCAGACTGTTTCAGAGCTTCGTACCTACGTAAGTAAATGACTTTCACATAAAGTTAAAGTTAAAATCAGGCGCACGTAACTAAGCGCGATTTACTACCAATATTTTATTGCTTTTCAATATTAACGAGGGTGAAAATCCCGAAGTTGAGAATGATGTAATGCATATTTAAGTTTTTGTTCAATGAGTCATGTCCCATTACTTTTAACAGAAGAACTACAGTAACCTCGAAAGTAATCTCAATAACTATAACTAATCTCAGTTACCATAGTAACCTCAAAGTGGGCACATCCTTATATCATGTCTATTTTTAACCATGCGCGACAGTCTCTCCAGTTCTTTTCCTTATCAAGGGACACTTTTCCAGACTTGCGATTTCCTTTAATTACCGCTTGAGGTCTGGATAAAGACATTAGTGCGTAATAATCCATTTGAACCTCCGAGTTTCGGTCACTGTCATTGTAAATCATAGCGATCCTTTTCTTTTCAAACTTAAATTTGTTGTCTGTAAGATCCACTGTCGATGCATTCTGCAAATATAGAATAAAAGGTTTGAGAACACTCACTAACTGACTCAAAATGCAACGTCGCATTTTATTAAAATGAAAGGGCTCCCTTTGGTTCTAAAATGATACTTAACTCATGAAGTTTTTTTTTTTTTGTAAAGATCAATATATATATATATGTATTTGTATGTATTGTATGTATTTACGAATATTTAATTTTTTTTATTTTATTGATTTATTACAGATTGCAACAACTAAGAGGCTCTTCTTCTGTAACAATACTAATCTAATCTAAGTATATATATATATATATGTAGTAACTAATTAAAAGTATAATAACGATAACAAAATTAATCAATGTAACTTATCGTGAGATTTTAAATATACGATACATATTATGTGGATTCACTACCGATATTTAGCAAACAAATGTTTCTTGGCACTACGGCAAAAAAACTGTGTTCTAAAATGTTTCTTGTTGCTATCGGGAGTCTATTGAACAACGTTGCCGCCGAGTGCTGGAAAGTTCCTGATTCTCCAGGAGTAAAAAGTACGCGTGCTGTTGATGATCTTAGATTACAAGAAGTTACTTCATGGTGAGTCAGTTTCAGATACTCAGGAAAGCTATTATTGCCGTACAATGATATATGAGCGAGTTTGAGAATATTGAATTCAACGTTTTCTTTAACTGGTAAACAGTTTAACTTAATAATATCCTCGAGACCTGCAAATTTTCTTGTGACAAAGCCAGCACACGATTCTGTAGACGTTGGAGACGCTTTTCTAGATAAACAGGCAACAGATGAAATACCGTGCAAGCATAGTTCAGCTTTGAGAGAACTAGGCCTTCTATGATATGTTTTCTAACGTGGAATGGCGCTAGATTTTTGAGCCTACGCAGAATGGAGAGAGTCCCATATGACGAGCTTAACAGAGAATCCACATGAGTGTTCCATGAGAGATGTTGATCCATGTGGACACCCAATGGCTTGGTACAAGACTTTCTCTTTAGCGTTGAGTCCCCGCAAACAATAGGAAGACCCCGTTCCTCTAAACTATGATAGCGTGACATATGAGGTGTGGAGATGAGCATCCAGGTTGTCTTAGCTGGGTTCAAAGCTAGATTACAGCTAGTGGAAGAGTTCTTGAGACTTGTGATGGTTTTATACAGGGTAGCCCAGTTTAGCAGATAGCTAGTTTAATTGGGGCCCTGTGAACACCCACCTATCCCACCCCAGGGGAGGACATCCACCACACAGTAATCTCGTGCGTGGGAAATTAACGTCTCCTACTCCTAACCCTGCAGGAGACGTGGCCCACGGTTTATTCGTACCTATCCGAGAAGACTAGAATATTTATCCATTTCTTGATATTATAGAAAGGTAGCAAATTCTCCTCAGTTATTTTAAGACCATGAGATTTGGTCCGGCCAGGGCTCGAACCCTCGACCTCCCGCACAACACACTCCGGCGCTCCAACCAATTGAGCTAACCGGGGGCGGTTAGCAATATTGAAAAACTAAAATCGACAGCTAGGCCATTGGGGCGTGACAACTTGTTTTTAGGCAGGATTTACAGATCGCAGTTACTACTTCAGTGTACTCTATAACAGAAAATCTATACCCAGATTAATTGAAGATTTTGTTAGTAAAGCCTTTTCTTGTCAGAACAATTAACTAAGCGAATTGTACAATTAGTCTGTTAAACCTTAAATAAGGGAAGAATTTTCTCGAAAAAGATGATCCCACTCGGGAATCTTACTGGCATTTAAATGGTTACAAGATGTGCTATTTTTATTGAAAATTAACACATTTTCTTGGCAAAAAGGTGGTTAAGTTCACACTTGGACCTTTCCTTAGCCTGGCTCTTTTCCACGCATTGTTTTCAATGACAACAGAGACTTACCTTTACCACCAACTGTCCATTCTCCGCAGCTAAGATAGAGTCCGGCTTTTTGGAAGGTCTGAGGGAAAAGACCATGTTTTGACCGGAACATCCCATTTTGTGGATGAATTCTATGAAAAAACACAAATAGTAGTATTAAAAGCTTAATTCCTGTTGGCAATTTCATTGCTTTAAAATGTCTACCATGCAGATACAGGATACAGTTGAGCATATAACTCAACTTGGAATTGATTTTGTTATCTGTTTAAGTGGTGCCTTTGTTTCTCAAGCCGTATTACAGCTTAATGCACTGGAGAGGAATGAACAGTATGTATTTCTTTAAATACAAGCTGCTTCCCATGTAATCGCCCAGATTTCTTTTAAGCTCTCATCGTCGTAAAGACTTATGGTTAGAGGCTATTTCCGTTTCCGTATATGCACACTGGCGACCCATTATACCTTCTTTGGATAAAATAAACTGTGACCCGCCTATCTTCGATAAAAAAAGCTTGGAGCCGGGATTTTTGCATGAATGAAAAACAAGACACCTTTTCAGGAATCATTGATAACGAAATCGTTAGGCTGTATCACGGCGAAGACGTCTGAGGGTTTACCTGCACCAAGTAAGCGCAGCTGACGGCGGAAGTTGCATGTCGCCTAGTCGACCTTTTAAGGAGCCTCGTCAAAATATTTCGACCGGTCTCTGTGACTCGTAAAATTTTTCCTTACGTAGGGGGATTTCAGTAGAAAATTTAAGTTTTTTGAGGTAGTCAAACATCAAAACGGCAAGGAGAAAGATAAAAAGGGAAAAGGCGGTGAAAGATGGCATAAACTGACGTGGATCATTTGTAAACGTCAGCCAACTTGAAAAGTTTTGGATGACGTAACTCCTTTGAGCATGATCAATTTACAGTATAAATATCAGTTTTCTCACTTGTCCCTGATGCTCCTCTCCTCCCGGTGAAAGACACCCTGAATTCACCGCTAAGGTTTTGAGTGATTAGCAAGAATCTTTTGGCCTTTTGTTGACGTGCCATCGATTCCACGGTCACAGTATACTCTGTTGACCTTGTTGAGCCGCACTGGGACGTGGGGGAACACGAAACCCAAGGCAACAACACGATATAAACAAGCAGCTGTCAATGGAAAAAGGAAGAAAAACAAATAACCAGTTAAACAAGCCCGGCTTATAGTTATTCATACATAAAACATTAACATCTGCGAGATCGCTGTTTTCTTCTTGAGCAATTGAAGTCAGCAAAAAAAATATGCACTTTCATTTTCTTTAGGAAATGTTAATTCGGCACATTCTACAGACAACGTAAAATTTGCAAAGCACCGATTCTGCTCTGTTAGCTTTTTTTCTATGGTTAGAACCAACTAACCAGTCAGTTGAGGAACAGATATCCCCTAAGTGAATTTATCAAAGGGAACATTTCCCTTCATGAGTAAATTTGTTCAAGTTAGATGTCTCTACATTTGTGTTAAATTTTTGTCTTCTCTAGCACGGATGAAAACAAAGCAATAACTTACAAAAGTCAGTAGTCCAAATTTTGAAATTACTGTAACAGTGATAATTTTTCACCTTGTATCGTTTCACTGTTAAACAAAAACAGTGCTTTCTAGCCTGGAAATTTTACGGTGTAAGCTTTGCATAATTGAATGATAAAGTCCTCATTTTGGGAATAACTGAAAGCTTTTGAATCGATACTCTTTAGTTCTAGGCGTTAAAATGCACACGGATGCATGTATCTGTTAATAAATCATCGCCATAAATTGGTTCTTTCCTCTTAAAAAAGCGCGTTATTTTAAGCTTTTAGAGTAAAGCAGAAACGATGAAATTATATTTCAGTCAATCCGTTTGATACCATTAGTTCAAGATAAGAAAAATACTTTGATCGATTACTTCATGAATCGAATTTGCGGAATACTAAAACAAATGAACGTCCTTTGCAAATACTTACCACGGAAAAAAGCCAAAACTTAGTCTCTGCCATGATTGCCGGTATCATATAATCACTAGTCATGGGTAAATGAGATATGAGTACCTCGGTTATCATAAACCTTATAACGAGCTCAGCTCATTTATCTTGAAAATGAAAATGAAAACGAAAAGAGCTGGATGACCGCCTTGGGTGGGAAAAAACCCAGTCGTTAATGATTTAATAAGAATAAATGTATCAGTGTGGTATCACTGAGTATTCAATTTACTAGTTGTGCAGTTTTTCGACGAGCCTGGAGGGCCAGTCAAAATACAAATACCTAGTAAAAAAACTGATCGATAATACACACCAAAACGTCTTGACTTAAGTCAGTTATTATCCAATTGCTATATTTGATTTGTACGGGATTTGCGGGATTTGTACCGGATACGCCCGTTGTAGAACTTGCATTCTAACGAGGGAGTATCAGGTTGTGATGATGGCGTTTCAAATCATATGTGGAGGTGAAGTGAGACGAAACGAGTCGAGAATATCAACTTGTCAATGTCTGCTGCTTACGATCAGAGAAAGCTCTTACAGTTAGTCACAGCTCTGCTCAAGAAAAAAGCCACCTTTAAGAGACCACACTGATTTTAGTCCTAATTCCTGAAGCACTTCTTATTGTAACAAACACAAGTAAACTGTTGGGTTCATCGGGCTATTTTGTGTGTTCATAACTTTGACCAATTATTTAGTTCTTTGTGAAAATGTAGCCGTGGAAAATTTGAATAACAATCAATTATCGTAGAGAATATTTCACGCGACTTAATAGAAGCAGTAATAGTGTTTCAGACGCATCATAAATGCGCTTTGCTAAGACATTTGTACACCCATAAACTGCTGGCCATGATACTTTGATCAATGTCCACACTTGGTGGACCGGCGAAGATAACATAACTCACTGTTTGCGAATTCCAAGAGCCCGCGGTAGCATAATAGAAAAGGTTCAATTGTTGTTAGCATCTCTCGCGGTATTTGAATGTATTCGCCACGAAAAAACAAAGCGCACAAATTTCTCGGACGCGAGAAGAAATTAAATACATACACACTTTATTGAAATTGCCTTCAAATGGGCTTTTCAGTCACAATTAGATCATAACAACATTCACACACGAAATATGAGGGCCTGTTAGTTGGAGATTACTAATTGCAAGTAACTTCAGGAGCGTAAGGCGAACCTTACTACAAAATGAGGTCCTGTAAATTTGGACAGAAAGCTACTTTCTGTTTACGAAACATATGCTTAGTTTACTAGTGATTACCTAAAAGAGAGCTGCATTTGATTATACTCACTATTCGGCTGTTCATGATAGACTTCCTCAACTCGTGCTACCGGAACATTGCTTATATCAGGCTTGGATTATCAACTTTGACTTTTCGTGTTCCCTTACATCTCCTCTGTTTACTTAACTTACTTCAACAACTTGAGTAGTTTGTAAATATTTCTTTTACCGCAGACATTAAAAACAAACCATTCATTAATTTTCTTTGGCAGATTTATCTGTCGGCAACCTTTTATTTTGTATTCTATTATCATAATTATAATTTTTAATGGCTGAACAAGCATAAGTGAAATTTGTTTCTGGATTGCTGGTTAATAGAAATTTGGCGCCGGTGTGAATTACGGCTTCACTCTGTGGAGCACAATATTCAATATTCTACACGCAATTTGAAAGGCAGAGTGTACGAGTACGCTGTCTCTCTGTCGAGCGCACGTGCAAAATGCTGTTAACTGGGGTCCTGTATTTCACGATTGTTAGTTAATATGAATAACGAAACTGGTTCACAACAAAGCACATCGTTTATTTATTTTTTTCTTTCGAAGTCTACTCATAATTTTGGAGACTCGGAGCATGAGCGATTGTTAGAAACCCTCCACTTTTACCCCCTTGTCGATCTAACAAAATATCAGTTCTAAACCAGTAACGCAGTCTAGGTATTGGAATTAAGATGCTGGCATACTTAAAGGTTGTCCACAAAAGGTTTAGTGTAATTAGACGCATAGCTGCGTGGCACATCTGAAGTTATTTTTAGGGGACTGCCATATTGCCATTGTTATTGTCGTCACGCAATTCCGCCATTCCTGTTCACGAATAATTCTACTTGTGTTTTTTGTTTTTTGTTGTCTGCTGGAGTGTAAATAATATTACCATATAGGAGTAGGCTCCTTGAATTTCAACCTTTGGCATCTGTAGGACTTTTCAATGACTTTGTAGGCCAAGTGTTAGAAAATTGAAGGACCACTTTTGGAAAGGTTTGCATAAACAATTTTAAATTATTTAAAATTATTTCTCAGCTTTTCAATGTAAGCACAGTAATTTTCAACTTGAAAATTGCTAAAGAAAAAGCAATGCAAAAATCAACCCCTAGTCCTCACATTTCAAGTACTGTCGAGGCATTTAATTTTTTATTTCTAAATTCAAGCATCTTCAGTCAAGGACTTTCAAGACTTTTACGAACCCTGAGTAGGTAATGTAATTGCCTTTAACTGCAAGGAGAAGGGAAATTTTTATCTATTATAGGTACCGAGTCATAGCTTGTTGCCAAATGTTCACCCAAGGGGAGTTGTCAGAAATCAGTAGATTGAAGCAAAATTGCTGTTCAGTAATTCATATTCTTTTTAGTAGGAAAATCTTTGAATATTGAATATTGCTGAAGGCTACAACAGGAGAAGTAGTGCTATCTACAGTTTTAGTATTTTAAATTAGAGGCATTTGACTTTCATTGAATGCCAAGACACATATTTTGACCTTTCTGTGGGTTTCAAAATACACGTCATACAAAAAACTGAAAACTACATCAAAAACCTTGTGCATTCACTACTCTTTCCTACAAGATTTTCGAGAATTGATTTGCTGTCAACTGAATCAG